TGCAGACATCCAGCCCAGAAGCTATTATTTTGAAAAGTTACCAGTCGAAATATGGTTTGGAAGGTAAGATATAACCACTAAGATAACAAGGATATAAGGAAATCTAAAATAGCTATTTGAATGTTCCTGATTAAGTATTCATAACAGAACTGGGTCAAAAATCTGAAACACAGAGTGGCTGTGCCATTTTGTATTCCACTAGCAACGGGCAGGGCTCCAATTTCCCTGCATCTCTGACACTTACGACCCTCTGGCTTTTCTGTGAGCGTCACCAGAGTGGGTGTGAGGGGCAGCCTGACTGTGGTTTTCAGTTGCATTTCCCTGGATGACTAATGATGATGACCATCGTTGCACATGGTTCTTGGCAACTGTATGGAATCTTCTGAGAAATATCTCTTTTATAGCCTATGCCAGCTTTTATATTGAACTGTCTTTAAAATTGAGTGGTAGGTGTTTATTTTAAATATAAGTGCTTGCCGGATATAGGGTTTGCAAATATTTTATTCCCTTTCTGTGGTTTGTCCAATTTTTTTTTTTTTTTAGTCTCCTGTAAAACAAATTTTCATTTTTGATGAAGACCAATTTAAATTTTCTTTTGTTGTTTATGCTTTTTGGTGTGATAGCTAAGAAACCATCTGTAAAAGGAACCCCCATGTTTTCTTCTATGAGTTTCATTGATTTATCTTTTACATGTAAGTCTTTGATTCACTCTGAGCTAATTTTTGTCCATTAACTCAATGTGAGGCAGGAGCCTGCCTTCATTCTTCCAGTGGTTCAGCACCATGGGTGGAGAAGACCATGTTCTCCCCCATTTAATTACCTTGGTATATTTGTCAAAAAATCACGTCAACACCCATTTCAGGGTTTACTTCTGGATTTTCAGTTCTATTCTATTGATCTATGTTTATTTTCATGCCCGTGCTTGATTACAGGACAGATGTGTAGGGAGTTTAGACAGTGGGAAGTGTGAGTTCTCTTATTTTGCCCATTTTTTAAAGATTGATACTCTGAGTCCTGTACATTCCCCATTTCCATTTTATCAGTTCGTCAACTTCTGACAAAAATGTGCTTGAATTTTGATAGGAACTGGTTTAAATCTATAAAGCAATTTGGCAAATAATGCCATGTTAACAACTCGGAGCCTCCAATTCAGAAATATGAATTGCTTCTATTTACTTGGATTTTCACTGCTTTTTCAATTGTTTGCAGTTTTCCTAAGATGACGCACTTTTTTCAATACAGTGTATTCTGCTGCTTCTTTAGATCTTATTCCTAAGTATTTTATACACGTGAGGCTCTGTTAGTGGAGTCATTTTCATAGCGTGAAGACGTACGCTTGCTTTGGAAAAACCACTTGGTAGCTGCTCAAAAGGAAAAGGAGAAACACCTGAAGATCTGGCAATTCCACTCCTGGATATGTAGGCACTTGAGAAATTAGAACCCTTGTGCTGTGTTTTCTTTATTATCATCTTGTAATTTAAATTTTAATTAAGTAAAAGAAGGCAGGAAACACGGGCCATCAGTGCATTACTGGGGCGGAGAGAGACGGGTGCTGCTGGTGGCCCCTCTGGGACCATTAACGTAGACGCAGACTGTCCGCAAGGCGATTTTTTTTTTTTAATTTTTTTTTTTAAAGATTTATTTGTTTGTGCATACAGAACTGGGGTACAGGCCAGAGGCTCAGGGGTGGTGAGAGGCTTCACCAGAGACAGAGTGGGGAGCAGAACAGGCAGATGCAGGAAGCACACTGCTGAGGGGAGCAGCGGGCGGGCCAGGAGAGGTCTGGCTCGCCATGTGGTCTCCTCCGGGGCAGGCGGGGATCGAACTCATGCGGAAGCGGCTTTAGATTCTCAGTGCTGTGCTTTAACCCGCTGCACCACCAGGGAGGGCCCGAATTTTTTTTTTAATGTAGCAATGGGGTAACAGTGTCAGCTCTCACCCCAGAGATGCTGATCCGGGCACCTCCAGCCCACAACCTTCCCCACAATGGCCTCCCAGCCCACTGTTCCTCTCCGTGCCCCTCAGGCGCTGGTGCCCGCTGATCAAAGCCAGTATCAACCCTCAGGACTTGCTTCTCCCCAGCTTTCCTCTTCCGGGCAGCTAAACCGAGCCCGGTAGCATCAATCAAGGGAGAGATTTTCATGGGAAAATCATGTTACACTTTGATATAACAGCCCTATCTTCCTGATGAACTAAAAATTGAAATAGGAAGTAAATTCTAGAGGGAAAATTCAAAAGGCAGCACATGAGCTGTGGGGCTGTTGGTGTCCAGTTTTCCAATGTGGAATGTGCATGAGGAAATACGCTGTAGGGTGGGGAGCGAGACAGTCTTCTCATCAAGGGGCCAGTGTGCAGGGAGGACCAGGTTGATGGTGCCATTTCAGTGGTGTCTCAGGGCAGAGGCAAAAGTTGTGCTGCTGTAATTTTAACCTTCCCCAGCAAAATGATATTGTACAATATGAACAGTCTGATGTAGTCAGTACAGAGCATGCGACTCACCCTGCTGTGGCTGAGTGACCACTAACAAAGCTAGTATTTTTAATGATCACACAGAAAGGAGGGACAGAAAGAATCACATTAAGTCATCATCTTACCATGAGACATACGAATTGTGTGAGCCCATTTGTTTTCATGCGAAGGGAGTTGAGTCCCATCCTAGTGATGAAGGCTTTAGCAAGCTTGGCACAGAACCAACTACAAAATTTAAAGACAACCAAGGAGACTGCCCTTAACCCCGAGTTAATCTCATTTTCTTGTAACTCTACCACATGAATCAGCAAAACCAGTGTAGCAGCCTTGCACTTAACTAGAACAGAATAGACATGGAATAAGTATTTGTTGAATAAAGCAAAAGTGTAGCAGCCTCGCACTTAACTGGAACAGAATAGGCATGGAATAAGTATTTGTTGAATAAAGGAAATTTCATTTGTTCTTGACTTGTGGTGGTATCTTCTAGCCGATAACAGAGAACTCCCATGCACCTGAAGTCTCGCCAGTTCTTATTTCAGTGAAATTATGCTATTTTGATTTTCATGTCCTATTTAAAACTCCTGACACTTTCTGGGACTCTCCTGCACTGCTGGTGGGAATGCAAACTAGTACAACCACTATGAAAAACTGTTAAACATGGAGCTTCCCTACAACCCAACAATCCCACCCCTAGGTAACTACCCAAAAGACACAAAAACACTGATTCAAAAAGATACTGCACCCCCATGCTTATTGCTACATTATTCACAATTGGAAAGACATGGAAACAGCCCAAATGCCCAAAAATGGATGACTGGATTAAAAAGATGTAGTACATATACACAATGGAATATTACTCAGCAACTGAAAAAAAGAAACACATGTCTTTTGCAGCAACATGGATGGAGCTGG